CTCTCTCTCTCTCTCTCTGACTCAAAGGACCTCATCTGCCTCTGTCCCTAGCTGTTGAAATTCTATCAGCTGTCTGCACCTCCCACACATTCTGCAGTAGCAGGGCAGGCAGCTTCATTGGTTGTGTGGGTGGGGGGTTGAGGTGCATTTGTGTGTGTGTGTGAAAGGGGAGGGGGTACAGGAAGAGGCACCTGCTGATGGCTGGCGGTTGGTTTGCACCAGCTGCTTTGCTACACACATGAAAGGCATTGCTGATAGATAATTGACGGTACCGAATTTCTCCCAGATCCTTTTGCTCTAGCCTTTACCTGCCGTTTGAAAGCTTTTTTTTGTCACTCCACGGGCATTCATTTAATTTTACTAGCCTACAAGCATGTATTACTGTTGAGAAAAAGGATCGTAAAAATAGATATGGTGGAAAAAAATACTTAAGTTGTCATATCAGATGGAATATTATTCATTTACGTGTGTGTTTCTGCTTCATTGTTTTAATGAGTAGCTTGTAGCTTGTTTGCAAACTGATCTGATGTTCATTATACAACCCTGCGTTGTAAATTACATTTAAATAACTCTGTATCCTTGTAATCTTATGGTATTTAACATTTCTTTCCCTTTTGTTTTTTTGGACAGGGACTCAATATAAGGAACATGCTGTAGCTTTGGAGACAGCAAGGCTCATTGGGACCAGCTTGGATCCAGTGGAGTTCCAAAGGTGCCACTTACCCTCCGGGCTCTGCCATGGACTTCTTTAATGACCCCAACCTCTTCGTTGGAGGTTTGGAAGGGCTGGATGAGGATGGCTTCCCCTCAGCACCATCACTTGTGGATGAGCTAAACCTCAGTGCTGACTTCGAGCCTCTCCAGGTGGAGCCTCTAGGTCCAGGGAAGCACCAAGACCTGATTCCACCTGTTTCTACCCAACAGGCCATACCCACTTACAGTGAGCAGATGGGTCACTACATTGGCATTAAGGCACAGAATCCTGTTGTGCAGGCATTTTCTGGTCCTGGGGGAACAGGTGGAGGACGCAGTGGCTTGATTGCAGACCAACATGGCCAGTACCACAATGCTGCCATGAGCCAAGTACCTCAATCCAACGGGCTGTTCTGTAACAGTGGCAGTCCAATGTGGGGCAACCAAGACCAGAATGGCAATATGTACCACCCCTTATCTCAACAGCAGCAACATCAACAACAGCTTTGTCATCAGCAGCAGCAGCAGCAGCAACTGCACAACCAGCAACTTCATGTCAGACAACAACAAACACAGCAGCAACAACACCACCCATGTCATCAACAACAGGAGCAGCAGCACAGAATGCGGCAGCAGCAGCTGCAACAACAGCAAAGTCATCAGCAGCAGCTGTTAAACCAGCGCCAGCACCAACAAATTAACACACAGACTATGTCCCTGCAACAACAGCAGCATCACAGTTTCTCCTTTCACCAGGGAGGTCAATCTCAGAACCAGCAGCAAGTTCACCATACTCAACAGCAGGTTCACCTACCTGTAGGAGGGCCCAGGTTCCACTCAAGGGCTCTGCCAAGTAAGTCTTATTTGGATCAAAATGCTTCTCTAAGTGGGACTTGCTTACAAGCACAGCAGGGTAGCTACCAGTTGACCAGGGGAGGTCAAGCTTTCTCTGGACCAGGACCAGAAGACCCTAACCTGCCCTTCCCAATGCATTCGTCATCTATGGTTCACCCCCTGCCCACATGCTCAGTCAATTCTGCCACTGCTTACCAACCGGCTGCGTACCCTGCCTACCCTGGAGAGCCAGAAATACCCAGTCTCAGTCAGCAGTCTTTGTCTTCAGCCTTGGTGTCAAGACCCACCACCACCACCCCTGCACCCCTCACTTCTACAGGGCCTGAACTCTCAGGGACAGTATGTCAGTTTCCATCCGTGGCAGTCATGAGTCAGCAGCACACGAGGGCCTCAGTTAGTCTGGCTGAGGAATGTCCTTTCCGGGCCCTACATTGCTCTGGAGAAACGCAGGGAAACTGTAAGTCATCTGAGATGTTTGGTGAATCTATGAGCTGTTACCCTATCATGACCAGTCAACTGCCCTCTGAGCAGCCAGAGAGCTGCGGGGCCATCAACACTAATGGATACCAAGCATTGGGAGACACTCTCCTGCCATCGGAGGCTCAAGATGGTGACTTGGAGGGCCTGGAGCCTCCGGACCTCCTGCCTGACCTACTGCCCCAACTGGAGGCTGCTCTCAGCCAACAGGATGAATCCAACTGTTCCTGGGCCGATTCCAGCCAAGAGAGGGGACATGAGCAGAGGAAACCACCACCTGTTGAATACAAGGAAGAGAAGGTAATGCAGTGTTACACACTGTCTTTATATTCTTAATAGTCCAGTATGGCAGGACATTTTCAGCCATACTTTAGCAGAACAAGTAGTTCAATTTCAACCCATACAGCCCCCATTTCTTTTCCGTATAGATGAATAAGTGGAATTGGAGGTGGGTGAAGGCTGATGAGTTGAAGAAATTAGAAGTTATATTTGCATATATATATCTGCATTACTCTGCAGAATGTTTCTCTGCACAGACGTTATGTTCTTCCAAGTGCAGCATGGCACAGAATCTGGCTGCTCATGTAATGTTTAACTAAATATCCCAGATAGAACATGTGCTTGTCTAGTAGAAAACCTGCAATCAGTGGAGTGGGGGAAGGTGGAGAGGCGGTACCTAGGGCCATCTGAAAGCCTTGTGAAAATGATAATTTTCACAAGGCCTGGCCTGGCCTGTCTATCTGCCCAGTGCGCAGACAGCAGGTCAGGCCTGATTAGGCTAAGAGTGGCAGGAGTGTCTTCAGGACTTAGCTGTAAGCATACTTAGGGCTATATCAAGATGTGGGTCAGGGCAAGCCAGAGGCACTTGCACACTGCCTCGCTGGAGTGTGGGGGAGGTTGCATGCTGTTGTGGTAGCTGCCACAGTTTATGTGTGTCTGTGAGTGAGTGAGTGTGTGTGTGTGTGTGTGTGTGTGTCTGTGAGTGGAAGTGCACATGTGAGAGAGCGGGCGGGAAGAAAAGAGTGTGGTGGAGGAGAGTGGTTAGCACTTGAGGGAGGGGGAGGGGGTTTGGGAGATGGAGAGAGCAGTAGCTCATGGAAAAAGAAGGAGAGCTTAGGAAGGGAGGGAAAGAGACAGAGAGGAAGAGCATGAGAGGGAGAAGAGAAGCGGAGGGGGAGGTTGGGAGAATGCATTAGCTGGCTGTAACAGGCTTCAGGCGGTTCCTGGACCTCAGTTGGCTAGTGACTTAGCAGCATCCACACAGCCTCCTGGCCCACAAGTGACACATGACCAGCAGCAAAAGCATTTCATCATGGTCTGCACACGTGAAAAAGAACATGTGGATTTCAACACACCCATGTGTTCCTTTCTGTTGTGTTTTATATTTTTCCAGCAATGTTATTACAAAAACAACATATGGCGTACCAACAATTCAACGTATTCTGTTGAGGGCAGCAGAAACAGATTTTCATAAGAGCACTTTTCCATGGCTCGCTCGCTATTGACATGGCTGGCAGTCTTTCTGATTGCCACTGACAACACAGTAGTGTTGTTTGACATTATCTTACCAAGCCCACATTTTCAGTATCAGCACTTACACTAGTGTAGCAAACACTTTAATGATCACAATGTTACAGTAACCGTTTGAGTGACTCATTTAAATCTCTCTAAACAGTGTCCTCTTACCGGCAGTAGACCCATTATGCCCCACCACTTCTGAAAGCAAAGCTATGCTCATGAGCCAAAACACAACCTGTGTTGAGTACTGGCTCGACTATCCCCCAACAGGCAGCAGGTGACAACCAAACTGGTTGTCTGCCTAATCAGAGCTCATCCACACAGGCCATTTGGCCATCTGCAGAGGTCCTTGATTGAAATGGGGCCATGAACCACAGCCATACGAACGAGCCTCTCCCTGTCTGTGTCAACATCCAGCCCTGTGTTGATGCTTACAGGCTGACTGTGCTATTCATGTGCACTGATGTGTGAAGAGCCTGCTGATAGTGTGTTTGCTGAACAGGCAAGGCATCAGAGGATAGCTGTCCACTCTTCACTCCCCCACCGTGAATGTGGCTAATTAGGATTTCCAGTGGTTGTAATGGTCAGCTGCAGCTATAATGAGCACCCGGGGTCGAAGATTGAACCGTTGTCGCAGGATGCCATATATTCAAAGGTTAAACTGAGTAAAAAATATTGTTTCAGGCCCATTTGTCATGGATCAAAATTCGGTTGAACAGATGTTGTGTGTAGAAATCCTGTCCCATGAATGACTGCAGCAGCCTTTATGGACTGCTAGGGGCTTTCTCAGTAGTTGGTAGTTGAAGCTTAAAGGCATCAAGCCCTACAGTGAGACCCTTTTGAGCTGGATTGTAAATGCTTACATGTACTCATGTGAGTCATCAGACAATCTGTCTGTGTGTGTGTCTTTTGAAATGTCTGTGCAAGTTAAAGTGGCAGACAAAATAATTGTGAGACGTTGTGATAGACCATTGCAGGCAATGTTGCAAATTAATGGGCAGGGCTGCTTTGTTACAGTACTGGGGTTACAGGGTATTCACATTTTAAGCATTTGATCAGGTATTTTGGTCACATGGATAGTTACTTCGATAGATTAGCCAAAAATCTGATTTTTTAATTTGGTCATTTCATCTGTGCTGTAAATGGTTTCTAAATTAGAGTTCTATATTGCAAAGATATTCTTGCATAATAATTTATTTTGAATTCCTATGCAAAATGATTGTAAAAACTACAGGTTATGAACTTCTTTTTAAAATACATCTTACTGGTATCAGCCATGAGAAGCAGGTCATTATTGTATCGGCTGAAAATCATACTGTGCATCCCCCATTGATAATTATCTGAATTTGTTGTTTGATTTTAGTCATGGTAAACGTCTAATTTGACCTTTTCTTCCAGAGATTTCAACTGCAACCTCCACTTAAGTTGTCTTCCTTATTTTGTATTCCTGATCACAATTCTAATTGTCTTAACTTGGATTTGATAGCGCTATATATGGGTACAAATTAAACTAAGCCCCAAAGGCAAAATGAAAACTGGTTTTGGAGTTTTGTGGGGCAAAGGCAACACATTTCAAATACTGCTTACTGGTGTACTCAAACTGCCACCCTGGTATCAGTTCTGCCCTGTGGTGCCTAAGGAGCCATCATTTCAGTTCAAAACTGACATGGGCCACGATGTACATGTGGGCACAAGAAACCAGGTTAGTGGGAGAAATCAGGTTAGAGCAATAAATCCAGAGAATGTGTTTAAATGAATTACATTAACCTGACTTACTATAAAATCTGTGTGACACGCAGCTGGCCTACAGATACATTTCTTTACTACATCGTACCTTTTGACACGAGATTGGCGAAGTGACGGTGCATTGGTGATTTTATGGTGCAGATAAATGATACAAATAAAAACGGAGACTAGACCTGGCAAAATTAGCCTTGCTTTCTCTTGTGTTTCCTCTGAGACATCATATCAGCCTCAGTGCATTTTAATCTTCTGGTCCATTTGTAGCCCATTTTTCACATATGTATTCTTAATGATTGCTTTTGCCCTGCTTCTACACTCTGCTGTTTGTCATTTTCATCAAACCAGAGGCTTTAAATATAAGGGTGCAAATGGCTCCCTAGCTAAATGGAATAGAAAGCGAGATGGAAGTGAAGACTGATGGATAGTGATGGCCTGGGCTGCTGTAGCCCCCCCCCCCCCCCC